CGCATTTTTCTCTTTTTTTTTTAACCAATCATCGTACAAATTTGACTCTCTTTTATTATCTACCTATTGTAAAGTTCGTAGTTCAAACTCATTTTGTAATTAAGGCAATAAATAAAACAAGTTAAGTCAAGCTTTAGTATATCGTTAAATATCTTCCGATCATGTTAGAAAATGTATGTGATTGTTCGGATTGACAATAAAATGTTATAAAATATGTTCTTCAGGTATACTTTGCTATAGTTATGTGTTAATTGGTCAAAGATATGATCCTAAGAAGTCTGCTTCTTCTTCCTCAGAGTTGTGTCTGTGAATAAATTATGTTTTCTAAATAGTTACTAATATACACGATCTGTAAGTTTATACAATGCCCATGAAATTACTTTTCTTATTAAGTAAGTCTTGGACCAATACTTTTCAAAAATAATACTAAAAACATGTCACTTAATAAGATTTCGAACGCAAATAAATCGTCGGTTTGGCTTTTACCATAAATGAACACCTAAAATCTGTAAACTACTGATGCTAGATGATCTGATTTAATGACGACAGTGCGATGACATTGTACGTTTGGTTTGACTGCTGTTAACCGCATATCTACACAAAGGGCTATCTGTGCTCTGCCTAACGCAGGTATCAAAACCCGATTTTTAGCGTCGTTAGCCAGCAGACTTCCCGCTGAGCCACTAGTGGGGCGGAGGGAGGGGGTGATACTATAGAAGAAAACGTTTTTGTCATCTAAAATTACATTTAAATATGTAAACTCAAATAGAACATATAAAAATACAGCTTTAAAGCTTCTATTAGAAGGAAAAAGAATGCCCAAGTTTCACTATCCAAGTTTTTATACTTACTGTATATATATTTTATACATACATGTATATATATGTAATGAAACAGGTTTCAACTTTAGGTGGATTTCATAATAATACTCACCGATAGCTTTAAATCACAATAAAATGAGCTAATTTTGTGACTTTTAGAGTCACTAAAAATCCAGTATATTGAAGAATTGCTTAAAATTCACTAGCACACGTATACTCTTGGAAAAATTGTCTTCTCTATAATTGTATATTCTTAACTACAGGTCGAGGTGATGAGTGACACATAACTGATTAATTTATGGATAAAATGTTCTGCCATTTGTTCCGGACAAAGCTTCTAAATACATTGAAAGCCCTTAAATAATTGCGTCAGAGGGTTAGGTGTATAATACTTCGCAGAAACTGTACATTTATGGGTAAAAATTTAGCATCACCCTAGAATTTTAGGTGTGACATATATCTAAAATAGAACATTATATGAACGTAATTTTGATCTTTTATTTAAATCAAAAGCATTAAATAAAAATACTACGCAATGATACCACAAAAGTCTACTGAAATTCATGGTAGCAGTACTTGGTATTTACAGTTAACTTCATGGTTTTTCAAGACTTCCTTGATCCTTGGACTCAATGAGGCGCTGAAGGATCAAATTATCCTTAGTATTTATCCATGCAGCCTTTAACACGTAACAATGTTCAGCGGCTTTAACACGTAACAATATTCAGCAGCTTTAACACGTAACAATGTTCAGCAGCTTTAACACGTAACAATGTTCAGCAGCTTTCATTCAATTTTATGAAGCAATATAAGATAATTATAGAGGAATTCAAAACTTTTGGTTAGGGCAGTCGACTTGCAATCTGTGAGTCCAGAGTATGAATCCCCTCGCCAAATATGCTCGCCCTTTCAGCCATGGGAGCGTTATAATTTGACGGTCAATCACAATTTTCGTGGGCAAAAGAGCAGCCCCGGGGTTGGCGGTGGGTAGTGTTGACTAGCTGCCTTCCCTCTAGTCTATCACTTCTAAATTAAGGACAGATAGCGTAGATATTCCTAAAGTACTTTTGGGCGAAATTGAAGAAATAAACAAACAAACAAAACTTTTGATCATAGCTGAATATATAAAATATGTGATACTCTTAAAACAACTTTCAGTGCTAGAATGACAAGGATAAGTGATAAATGCTAAGAAGTATTATACATTTCCACTTATCCACTGACTTACCTTCTAAGTGAAGAAGAAGTTGACATATAGCAGATATACAGATCGCTCTGGTTTTCATCAGGAAATCCTGAAGATGTCGAACAAATCAGAAAATTATGTATGTTGTCCTGTTGAGTGATTCGCTAAATAACTTAAAGAACTTTGTCTTCTCTGGATTGCACACAAATGTGCATTCATTTTGTTACATTAGCGTGTATTGGAAAATTTGTGCGTTGTTTTTTATGCGAGAATATAAAATTTATTATGAAACTCAATCGAACAGTTATTATTAAGCGATCAACTATATTCTAATTACTTTATAGTTTGAGCGAGAGGATGATTCATTCAATTTGTCGTAGGTAGTCACTGATCTAGACTTGTAATTTCTGCAACACGTTTTACTTGAACCCCGTAACACTGCACGTGCTCACTGTGTTTGACAAAGAAATACTCTTCTATATATATACACAGATATATTTCCTTATTCTTACTTACCGCCATCTGTTGGTTACAAAGTTAAAGACTAATATTTTTGTGCTCTCGCAAGTGTGAATTTATTTGTGTTGTAGACACTATACTTGAGACCAAAACCTTTACGCTATTTATGATCATTATGAATTTTCCATTCATTTGTTTCGTAAACGGAGTGAACGTTCGTGATATTTCGAATCAAAATACTTTCAAGTGAAAAAAAAATTTCTTAACTAGTTGTATAACAATAACAAGTACTAGATCATAAAATGTTTTTAAAAATAGGAATACCTGTAAGTTTCGAAATGTCTAGCACATAAATTATATATAATACCATTTATTGTCTAAAACCGTCTAACAGCATCCAAGGGCAGTCTTATTGGGTAACATTTTGCCAAAAAATGGTAAATCCTAATTTATAAACTCTTAAAAATAGTATAAATTAGCTTCCTTGCAACCAGATGACATAACAATAATATTAAAATATATATATAAATAATGCTATGTTTCAATCCGGTTTTTCTCTTTTGTAAAATATATATTTTTATATGATTATTGCATTTATTAATTCCAACTATTATATATTTATTTAGAGTTGGTACATATATTTAGCGTTGCTAAGATTGTCTAGGCATTCGCCAGGGATCCATGTTTTTAAATGATATATAATTCATAATTATGTTTTTATATTATGGTGTATAGAAGTAGTAATATCTCAACTCCTAAACTTCCAAAACTAAACTTTAAAACAATACCTGGATTTGATATATTATGTAAAATCTAATGCATATTTAAGAAAATATAACTTTTCTGAGTTGAAGTAAAAGAAAATGCCTCTCATTAAACAATGAACAAAGTAGATGATACTTAGTTTTATAAAAATACATTGAAGATGCACCTCACCTTAACAATAATTCTATACTGGCTATGGACGTAGTTCAACTAAACCTTTCTACCCGTGTTGAAGATATAGATGGTTTTACGAATATGCTAAGAGATACAGAAGATGTAAAGTTCAGAAATATATCTACTGATTGGTTAAGTTGAGTCATGAGGTTTGTTTTAAGTATTAGTTCTATAAGGTTTAATAGTAAATCAGTTATTTGGCACTAAGTAGTTAAATAGCAGCAGTAGCACGTGCTATATATACCATTTAGTAAGTTATTGCAACAAAAGCACCATATGTAAGAAAGATAGGTAGAAATACCTTACTGTCTGCTTAGTTCAGGTTTATAGACGATACATTTGGAGTATGGAATTGTAATTTAGAATCATTTCTCAACTTTCATGAATCCCTCAAAACAGTTTCCTTTTCAAAATATTCACATTCTCTTATTCAACACCAAACAGTCGTGTTTAACATTGTTGTTTATATCAGACGTCTTTACCACAAACAGTCGTGTTTAACATTGTTGTTTATATCAGACGTCTTTACCACAAACAGTCGTGTTTAACATTGTTGTTTATATCAGACGTCTTTACCACAAACAGTCGTGTTTAACATTGTTGTTTATATCAGACGTCTTTACCACAAAACCCACTATAAACTTTATTCTACCTACCTTACTAGGCACATGACTCCCTAGAGTGAAAAGGTGAGTAATAATTGGATAATTCCTTAGGATTTAAAACTTCGATATGCCAAGAATTATACCACTAAGACTATAGTACTGATAGAACAAATAACATTATTATCCACAAAACTATATCCATTGCTTTTAATAAAATATTTAACCAATTCAGAATGCTTCCATTGAATATTAAAATATAATTCACTCATTCTATCAAGTGTAATAGGTAATGCCTTACAACACCATTTAAGTGGGAAATTAACAAACTCCAGTCCATCATTAAAATCTATATTAGTTATGAATGCGTATTAACAAAAATAGATTCAGTGTTTAAATAGTAAATACAAAACAAGGTCTATACATATACAAGTAAAGAAAGGTCGTTTCAAAAAAGGAAGTAAATGTAGGGATGGCTAATATCAATCCCTCAAAAACAATGCAAACAAGATAGTAGGGATGACATTTGCATCGTCCCTATATAACAGCACAGGCACACAGTGTAGTAGAATGTTAACAGATAAAAATGGGATAAACTAAACTCAATTGTGATCGAATAGTTTTATTTGTTACTACATGTTAATTCTTGCCTGTGCTATTATGTAGGAATGATGCAAATGTCATCCCAACTATCTTGTTTTCATTTACTTCCTTTTTTAAGCTTTTTCTTTACTTGTTTGCTTGTTGTTTTTTCTTAATGCAGTGCTTCAATATACATAGGAAGGTTGTATTTATAACCAAGTTCTAAAAACAATGAGGTTACAACTACAGTTTTTTAACATGTTATTGGCTTGTAATTCCTGTTTGACCTTGTACTTAAGCTTTTCAAAGAAACACCAAATTTCTGTAAGAAAGGTAACTTCAATGATGGCATCATTTATACTAGAATTATGATTTTTTTATAATTAATAGTAGTTATTAATAATTCTTATAAAAGCGGATACTTCGTTTGAAACTATGTCACCTCAGTGAAATTAGTTGACACCATTGTTTTGGTTTTTGAGTTATAATAAAAGAGAAACAAGAAGGAAGAAAAATAAGAAATTCAAACTGTTTGCTATGATATTTACAGACATTCCCAGAACCTGTAACTCGGTCACTACATATATATTATTGTAAAAGGAAACACTGCATAATGTTATAAAGTTCTGGTGGCCTAATGAGAAGATGTTACCATTTCGATGAACAATCCGAGCCATCCCTATACAGGTAGTGCTACCGCTTGCCTGATGTAGGAGAAACAAACCGTGTACTACCTGACGGAATAGTTCAACATGTATCCCCTACACAAGACATTCAAAATATCAACATAATAAGCGCCACTGCATATCATTACGTTGAAAAACCTGAAACTCCAGTAATCGACAGTTCTTAATCAGACGTATAGGATTTTTTTCTAAAAAAAAAGTAAATAAAGAGCCGATTATTAACAAAAACAAAGTTTGGCCTCAATAATATTAACAATAAATAGATGTCTTACTGTAGCATCTTTACCTTTTTAACACTTATTTTGAAAACTTTTCAATATTACAGTATATCGTCATAGGCTGGAACTATTTATGTATGATTTAGTAGACATTGTGACATCAATATGATGAGTGTTTAATATTGTCAGAATAATCCATTTTATTTGAAAGAACCGTATTTCCTCATCTTATAATTGTTGGTGTATCTAGAGAACAGAAATTTCCTGATGAAACCGTAATTTGAAATATTTTATAATAAAATTTTATATTCTGGAGATAGAGGTCGTTTATCATTTTAATAACAACTTTGCATTATGTCTTATTAAGTCGACCCCCAGTGGCACAGCGATATGTCTGCGGACTCACAACGCTAGAAACCGGGTTTCGATACCCGTGGTGGGCAGAGCACAGATAGCCCATTGTGTAGCTTTGTACTTAACTTTATACAAACAAACAAACTTATTAAGTCTTTTATTTCGCCAGCCGTCATTAGAGCTGAAAAAACAAAACAATAAAACACTCAACGTCTGATTGTTGTATGTAATACTGCATTTAGAAAACAATAAAACAC